TTATTCTACGGCTAATTTGAAAAAGTATTAGTCATAAATGTGTTTGCTTTGGCTTGTTCTTGAAGATGTTGCTGCTAATGTAAAAGACGAGTGATTTAAATTTATGTATGTCTTAGCTGTATGGACCATTTTACTTTATTTTTCTTAGGTTGGGCCTATAAACTTATATATCTTGGTGAACTTCCTTTTTTTTTTCTAAAAAAAGTTACCTACCACGTGTTTTTATTCCATATTTTTATCATATAGTTTGACTTTTTTCTTCACAATCTAGTTTCTAGATAGTATGTTCACTACCGAGATTTCAGCTGTCTCTGGTATATGGCCTTAATACTCAGTAACTTATAATCAGTGATTACTAGAACTGATAACAGACAATGGAAATTCAGATATATCTTGGGGAATTATTTTTAAAAATACCTTGACATTCTCTCTCTGGATATATGCATTCACATACATTGCTTTAGCTTCTTTTCACTTCCAAATATCTGGGTCAGAGCAGATAAAATTCAAGCCACCATGAACACGCTGTGCTTTGGTGTGCTTCAGGGGAGAGCTTCTAAACCACCTTTATTCAGAACAGCAAAATACCTATGGTTTAGGCTCATCGCCCATTGTCTGTCTTTCTGCTCTTCTCTGTCTAGAGATAGTAGAGAAAGCTAGACTACCACATAAACACTTCAACTTCAGGGATATTGGAAGCTATGAAGTACTTCAAGCATTACAAATTCATCCCTTCTGTTTTGTTTTTCTATCTCCCTTCTTTTTTCTCTCCCTTACTGTCATCTGTCTTCAAATTTAAATCTTGAAAATTAAGGAATATTTACATTGATAGAAGTCTTTGAAAATATCATTTTTATTATTAAGAAGCATAATACAATTTTATACCTTTCAGTCAATATGAAATGGCCAATTATGTTTAATTTTACAAACTGAATAAACCTCATATGAAAAGTGTGAACTATGAAAGGAGCATGGCATTTTTCATTCATTTTTTGCAATGCTTTAATTTAAAAGAAAGAATATTGCCATAAAATATGTGATGTTTCAAAAGAATTAATTCACTTGACATTTTTGGTGTTGTTTGAAATTACTTTCAGGTGACCTTGTGATATTAACTGTTAAATATTCTTTGATATATAACACAAGAGACCTTGAACTTATTTTCATGATACCCCTTTCTGTTCATGATGGCTAAAATATCAAGTAGTTTTCCCCACAGATCATTTCATTGTTTATATCATGAGTATATTACAATATTGCAGTATTCATCAAACTTGAATAAAATTTTTACCCATTAAAAAATAACTAATTCTCAAAGATGTTCAATTTTAACATGAATCATTGTATTTTAATTAAATATGTGTAAACATAAAATTGGTACAAATTATTTATGATGGATACTATTATACAATTCTAACAGCCAAACAAATTTATATGTTAAATGCAAGTGATTTACAAATGAAAAAAATAGAAACAAGAAAATTTATTTTATATGACTGAAGAAGTCACTTTTCTGCAAAACAACTGCTGCCAACAATATGAATGTAACATAGCTATCACACAAGATCATGTCCTGAACCCTATGTGATAATGCAATTCTCCCACCACTTTCTTTCCATTTACATAAAAGCAACAATAACAACCAAAACTTCTAGTTCTTATCATGTGTCTTAACATTATTTCTCTTTCATTCATTGTAACAAATCATTTGCATATTAAATACTTTCTGTCCTATGCTTTTCTCATTAGCCCAAGGTCATTGAAAGAGTATTCTTTTCCCAAAGGATTATAAATCATGCTGCTATAAAGACACATGCACACGTATGTTTATTGTGGCACTATTCACAGTAGCAAGACTTGGAACCAACCCAAATGCCCATCAGTGATAGACTGGATTAAGAAAATGTGGTACATATACACCATGGAATACTATGCAGCCATAAAAAAGGATGAGGTCATGTCCTTTGTAGGGACATGGATGAAGCTGGAAACTGTCATTCTCAGCAAACCATCACAAGGACAGAAAACCAAACACCGCATATTCTCACTCCTAGGTGGGAACTGAGCAATGAGAACACCTGAACACAGGAAGGGGAACATCACACACCAGGGTCTGTTGTGCGGTGGGAGGAGTGGGGAGGGATAGCATTAGGAGACATACCTAATGTAAATGATGAGTTAATGGGTGCAGCACACCAAAATGGCACATGTGTACATATGTAACAAACCTGCACGTCGTGCACATGTATCCTAAAACTTAAAGTACAATAATAAAAAAAAAAGAAGAAGTATTATTTTCCTTTTTGTGACCATAACCACAAATGAAAATATGGATACTGAAATTGCATGGCACTAGCAAATTATGAAGGGGCCATTAAAATGATCAAAAATGTAAGCACTTTCGATTGTCATTTTAAAACCCCCCAAAATATAAAATTTTATTTAGATTATTGATAGCTCCTAAGACACATTATTTGAACCTCAGAGATATGTTTACTGTTATTTGAGAAATACTAGAGAGAGTTGACTGGTAGTAGGTTGATCGTTATAAAATTATTCCTTTTCTAATGTCCACATTTTTTCTTCAAAATGTTTATGAGATTAGGCACAAAATAAGAAATAACCAAAATTTTAGTTTAAGAATGACAATATTAAATGAGAAAATCCATGATTTTTCTGAATCTTCGTAATTCTGCTATGCAGATGGAGTTCTGTACTTTTAAGTTGGCTTGAATGAAAAGCCAAAGACTTTTAAATAATTAAGTTATCTTATACATTCAATTAGCACACTCAATAACAAAAAAATTGCACCCAATAACAAATGAGGCATTCACTGAAAAATAGAAACTTTTTGGAAGCCCAGAATAAATATGAGTTAAACTGGATTTCCTAAACGTACTCTATTAATGTCTCAGCACAGGACCATAAGAATTCATCTTCTAAATGAGCACTGGAGCATATCCACCTCCAACACAGGGTGAACTTCCCTTGAGTTGTGATGCAGTTGGTAAAAGGATGAATGTGGGCTTAATTGGCTTTTCTAGATAGAGCACATCCCCAATCTGATCGTACAGGGTTCCTAACTGTTACTGCCTGGGAACTTTGCATTGGCTTTTCCTTTTGTGTGGAATGCTCTTCCTCCAAATATCCACCTTGGTTATCCCCTAAAATGTTGTTTTCTCAATTACCAGCTCCTCAGAGATGCTTCCCTGAATTTCCTATGTAAAATAACACTGCCTTTATTACTTCTGTTTATTTAGTCTATTAGAGTCTGAAGATGCAACAATACAGTCTCAACGAACCTTGAGGAGTCTGTTGGGAAAACAACTTCTTAAATACACAAAGACAGTATACAAGTAGCACTCATATGACAGGATAAAGGCATCTTTAGGGTACTTTAGGAACTCAGAGCAAGAACCTATTATGAATGTTTGAAAAAGATTTTCTGAGAGAGATGATGTTTGATCTGGATCATAAGGAATGGGTCATAGTCAAAGAACTAAAGTAAGAAGGGGCTTCAAGTCAGAATAAATATGAATGAATGAATGAATGAATGAATGAATGAATAGATTTGTAACACAGCCTGAGGAAATTACATTGATTGGAAAAGCAAAAATTAGAAGGTAAGATAGTTGGAAAATTACATTTCTGGATATATTTGAAAATACACGTGTAGATATATTCCCCTTTTTTGGCAGTTGTCCAAGCCTATAGCCCTGGCAAAAGCGGCACCCATCAGGGACCATTTTAAATTATCATATAACCTTCATCTTCCCACAATTAGCTAGAAACAACTGATTGAATCAGGAGACACCAAGGATCTGTCTCATTAGATAATGATTGACCAATCAGATTCTCATTCTCAGAAATTCAAACTGTAAAGTCTAGAAAGAGGTCAAAATTAATTTAGTGGCAGTGTTTGAATGGAGGTGATGGTAAACCAAAGCCATCTACAAGCAGGCACCAAGGAGGGAAGAAATTATGAGTCACAAAGGAGAATGGCAAGCAATCATAAGAAGACAGAAGAAAAATAAGACAATGCAGAGAGAGGCAAATGGGAAGAGAGAAAGATATCAGTTTCCAATTTTCAGTTTCTCACACCCAGTCTCTTTAGTTCTAGCTAACCTTTGCTTCTTGACCAGAGACACTCGTTAGACTATAAGTTATCTCTTTCAAAGGGTATTCAATGAATGGCACTCCTTTTGTCACAGTTTTTAGTGGATCCAGAAATGATAGGTACCAACCAGCACTACAATCCAAAGCTGGGGAAGAGACTGGACTTTCAATGAGGTATTCAAAATCTGATTTTAGTCCTTAGCACCTCATATACTGTGAGTGTGTTGAAGTTGAAGAGAGGAATTTTTTTGAGAAAGAGAGGATTATTAACTTATTGGAAGGTCTTTCTCTCCATGGAATAAGGAAGGGACATGCCTCCTCCTCAACTAAAGTTTAGCGGAGCTTCAAAAACCTTACCAGAAGAGCTTGATTTCTGTCCTCTTCAAGTCTGATGAACACAACCACCTGGTGTAAGAGTCATGTCTAAAAATTCTACAAATGAAACTCATGAATGGGGCTGCCTTTGGTTGGTGAATAAAGAGGCGTCAAATGTCAAGTAGCTGTTCTTTCACCCAATGTTGGTCCAGAGTACATGACTGTCAGGGCCCATTGTGGAAACTGTGCTAAGGTGTAGGTCTCAGGCGTAGGTGTAGCACCATTGAAGAGAGATCATTCAGCACCTGAGGTGGTGCTGAAGTCCCAACAGAAAGAGAGTGAGTGATGAAAATTCTCAGGACCTAAAGGAGGACCCATAAGCAGGTGAAGAGAGTCCTTACCAGTTGTCAGAAGGCTATTATACATAAGTCTCTATGGAGTTATAAGGCATTTAGGAGATAGGTGATCAACTTTAAATAATTGCAATAGTCAGAACAAAGAAATGAGACATGACATCTGGGTCAGCTGAGTAAGATTTTTCCTGTTTTATATCCCTTCTCTCTTTCCAGCTCCAACCCTGGAGGGGTCAGAGGACTAACTGGGGCCAACAGCCACCAGCAGGGTACCAAGAAGCACAAGCGAAGAAAGAAGGCAGATAACTCATCTACCTTCAACATGGTCTCCAGAATGAAAGAAGTTCAAAGTTTTGGCTCTTACTGAGGATTAGATTTTTCAGTTAGTGAAATGAAGCTTGTTATTGGAACTAAAAATTAACATTTGTTTTCTGCAACAGCAAAAAAGCTATAGATACTAGTTAAAATTGTCTAGGTTTCTTTGGTCAGGTTCCTAGAAGCAGAGCTTAAGACAGGATTCTTGTTTAAGTGATTTTTGATGAGATCTCTCAGAAGAAAGTGATTGGGGAAAATGGAATGGGGAAACAAAAAGCTAAGCAGAGAATGGTCTCTGCTGGAAAGCAAATTCAGTCTTTAGTCTGGTTCCACAGAGAAATTCTGGAGCAAATTGCAGCACAGCATTGGACCCACCCCCACCCACTGGTTGAATCCTATGGGAAGGTGGGCAGGGTGGGAGTGGGAAGTTTGCCATGCATGGCCTGCAGGGATAAAGTGGCAGGTCTGTATGGACACTGACGGAACCCATTATATGGGAATAGCCATGAGGAAGAATTTGTCTCACAGAATAAATTTGAACATGGAAAAAAGTAAAACTGCATTCTGATCGAATCTAACTAGCCTCATTCATGCAGTAACAATTTCAGTTACAATTACTCATCCTTAATTTATCTAAAGTTGTAAGTTTCTGTTCTTTGAAATCAAAGATTGCCTGGAACAAAATTGGGACATTACATAAGGATCTTTCTATCTCCAGCAAACGGGACTGGGGAAATCAGAAGATATTCTGTGTATATTGGTGCCACAAGTAAAAAAATGAATACAGCATTTCATTGACTAGAGTCACCTCCTATTGTCAAGCTCACTGTTTTTATAATCATGGTAATGCACTTGATATCTCAAAACTGACTTTTTTAATTAGGAGAAGGAGTAATCTAAGATTCATATGTTTGCCTTACAGATTTCAGATTTGTAAGCAATGAAAGAAGAAAAATATTTCAGAGATTATGATATGCTATCCTTCCACATCAAATTCACATTCCACAAATTTCAAGTTCCTATGAACACTGAATGACGGGATTCAATTGAGCCACTCTCTTGGGTAAAACCCCCATCGTCTAAAATTCACTCAGAGAGGTCATATTCTGGCTTAAATTTCAAAACATGTGGCATTTGCTATTTTCCCCTAGTCTAGAAAAGAGAGCTTCTCGAGGTTAACGAAGATTTCTAAAGTGTATTATCTGTTAAGAGATTCTGCCTTAAACTAGGTACTGGGCTCCCCTGATAGAGACTTGTCATGGTGTCTAGTGCCCCAGTAGAAACATGTGTGTTTGTTCGTTTGTTTGTTTCACTTCACCATGAAAAGCCAGGCTGGTCACAACTCACAAGCCACAATAATGTGTTATGAGAAGATAAATGAGAGTGATGAGGGATCCTGTATTTCATCCTGGTTGCTAACACTGTTGCAGGTGCTTTGTTGAAACAAAGCTCTTAAGACAAAGCCATAGCACCAGTAGTAAGCACAAGAGTCCTGACACAAAGGTCAGGAATGGTCTGACCATGGGACACAAGCCAGAGAGTGATTATTTTAGGCAGGAGGGCTCCTGCCACAGTTTCTTTTCACACTTTTATACAAACACTGGTGGGGGTACCAGAGCTTAGACAGACAGTGTGAGTTCGAGATAAAAGTCATCCCGTTAAGAATATTTGGGCTCCAGCCTGGATCACAGAGAGCCCTCAGAGTGGCAACAGAGGATCACACACAAATCTTAATTGGATGACCCGACTGAACAAGAAGAAATCCAGAGTTCTAAGAGCTCAGAGAAATAAGAAGGAAAAAGGCCAAGGAGGCATTGAAATATGAAGATAAAATCAATACAGAATTGCCTAGGAAATCAATAAGAAGGATAAAGGACGTGCAGAGGATGTGAAATATGTGTTCTGTCTCCTGTACAAGTGAGAAATCTGGCAGCATGTTTTGAACATGCTGCAATCCTGTAATTAAAGCTCAAGGGAGAACTGCAAAAGCGAATCTTAATAATCAAGTGAAAAGATGCCCTGGTAATAAGTGACTCCTTGTCAGGAAAACAGTTTCATAGGCAAATCTGAAGTTAACTATGAACTCATGTACATAATCAGAAAATAGACTGATAATGTATCACTGTGTTTATGGTAGAGACTGGAGCTTCATTTTAGAATCATAACCAAGTAGCAGCATCCATCTTTCAACAGGCCAAAGTTACTAGCTCATACCATTACCACAATCCTGATAATCACAGCCTTCTCTCAGGGTATGCTTCAAAGTAACAGATTATCCCCTCTCAAATGCCCAGGTTATCTGACAAAGGATAGAAAGCCCCCAAGAATCAGTCTCATGGTTAGATGCATTTATGAAAAGCTAAAGATAGGTGTTTATGCTTTCACATACCAGATACGAATAAAGCAATTAGAAGAAAAGCTTGGAAAAACCCTCAAAAAACAAAGTATCTTGGTGCTATGAAAGGAAAATACGTATGCTAACTTGAAATAGTAATACTAAGAATCATGTTTGAGCATGTGAGAATAACATTGGGATATCATTTGCTTAAGAAATGTTATATTATTTTTATTGTTCTTTTTTCACCTAAGTAGAGGTGAAGTATTTTACAAGTCCAGGGGAGATCATACATACCATAATCTTTGTGAAAGTCAGTTTATCTCAAATTGCTCCCAGAAATTTGTTTCATAAAGCATACAATATAAGAATGGTTCCATTCCAGGATTGGTTCAATATGTACACTTAATTATAATTAAGTTGTTTTGAACATAGAACTATGAAAATATAACAAGTTTTCTCATTTAAAAAATAAAACAACCAGAACTTATAGATTGAAATGATAAGTTCTCTCTTTCAGAGGTCTTTCAAAGGCAATTCATAAATTTTTAAAAAATGATACTGCTATTCCAGTTATTTTTGCATAGCCTCAAATTGCCAATATTTTCCAAAGGGGATATTTTTAAAGCTGATGACAAGCAAGAATTATTTGAAGCAAAATTTTTATGTGTTGGAGATTCTAGAAAATGGCAGCAGAGGTATAACTTATTTAACTCAACTGATTATCATGTAAAAACAGAGAACTGGTTAACAAAGTCCAAAACACACAACAGGATTTACAACAAAACAGAGGTAACAAAGTATCTCCAAATGTGCCAAAGACACAAGTGCAGAGGAGAGAAAGTATGAACAGCCACAAGACCTTTATGATATCAGTGTCTGTGCTGAAGCAAGCACAGAAGGAACAGGCATCTGAGGATGCTAGAAAAGGAGAATCCCAAAGTAGACTATAGATATTTCCTGGATAGTATGGAGGGCCACTGTGCAGAGGTAGTCTGAAATTGAAGGAGGTTTTTGCTTTCCCCAATAGTGGCTGAATGCAAGGGGACCCCTGGTAGGAAGGTCTGAAGGCGGCTGGAGCAATATGGCCACTGTGAGCTTTAGATATAAAGTAGGTCAGGAGATCGAGACCATCCTGGCTCACACTGTGAAACCCCGTCTCTACTAAAAATACGAAAAATTAGCTGGGCGCGGTGGCGGGCGCCTGTAGTCTCAGCTACGCGGGAGGCTGAAGCAGGAGAATGGCAAGAACCCGGGGGCGGAGCTTGCAGTGAGTGGAGATCGCGCCACTGCACTCCAGCCTGCGCGACAGAGCGAGACTCTGTCTCAGAAAAAATAAAAATAAATAAATAAATAAATAAATAAATAATAAATAAATAAATAAATAATAATAATAAAGTAGCCAAAACAAGGTTCTGAATGGAAGAGCAACTGCTGAGTGTCATCAAAATTTACTGGATCAATAACAATTAAAGAAAGAGAAGCTGCACATGAATGTGGGAAAGATAGTCAGAATACGTAAAAGAGCGCTGGGCCATAATTTTGAACATTACCTAAAAACAACAGAAAAGAAGCTCTGTGAGGTTAAACAAAGATTACCTGAAACCCGTTTTCTTCTAATTTTCTAATTTCAATAAAATAATGATAATAAAAGTGAGCAGCAAGAAAGTATTAAGATCAAATGCATTTTCTAGCTATAAGATATAAAAAGTAACACTAAAAAACAGAATAGCATACCTATAAATGATATGAGCACATCAGAAATACATGTACATAAATACTTAGAAATCATTCAATAATGTGGTGATCAAACTTAGGAAAAATTCCAAAATAATTACTAAATTAGACAACAAAAAAATGACTAAATTAGATTAACAAGTGTGGCTAAACCTAATAGGTAATTCCTAAAGGAAATACAATATGAAAATAAGAACAATTTTCAAATAATAAACACATTTTGGGAAAAAATGACATATATTAAACACAGGCAAATAATATCCAACATATAGGAAGTGGGAATTCCTGAAGAAGAAAACCAAGCACAGAAAGAACCAATGCTACAACATACAATCTAAGAACAGTTTACCAACGAAAACAAACAAACAAAATGGAAAAGAAAGAAATCATATATTGAAGCGAATACTACACTGCAAAAAATGCCATGCTAAGGTGATCAACACTGAGACCCATTTTAAGAAAATTGTTGCATTTTAAAGAAAGAAGGGAAATTTCTTTGGATATCTTTATACCAAAAAGAAGAACAGTACGAATAAAGGGAAGAAAAAATAGATTATCATCAGGTCTTTGTGGGGCTGTGGTGCTTTAGGCAAAATATATATATATATATGCAGTTATATATTTGAGTTACTAAAGGAAAAAAAATGCAATAAGAATTTTACATCTAACAAATCTGTCCTTGAAGCATGAAGGGCACAAACTGCTATCAACATGTAAGGACTCAATGAATTAGATTCATGTTCCTCAGGCTGTACTAGAAAACAAGTGTTAGACAACCAACAGAACTAGAGAGACACTGATAGAAGGACTAGGGTTAGCATTCAATATGTAGCTACTTACAAAACGAGACAAATGAAGGTTCAGAAATTGTAGAGAATATTATGTGATCACCATATGCTCTGATAAAGAAGAAATGGTACAAAAGTAAATATGAGTAGAGCAGGGAGGGGAGGGCATTAGTAAAAAATGTACAAAGCTCTTCTTGGCAATTGTACGGGAGATGATAGTGTTACTCTAATTATTCTTAGGTTGTTCCACACATAATGTGAAATAAAGAAAATTAGTAATTATGGAATATTCTATCATCACCTGTGTCTCTCAAAACCAGGATTCTTTATATGAAATAAAAGATATAATACGGATTCTGATTTTTAATTGAAAATATCAATATGAATGTATGACATATTTTATCTTTAAACACTTCACAATTCTTTTCATTGGAAAGGCCTAGAAATAATCATCAATCCAATTATGCAGAGGGCATTGAGAATTACTTATAGCTAGATAGTGGTCTCAACTTTTTCCCACCAAGATAAATTAGAGTTTCATAGACAAATAACTGATTCCAGATTTTACATGGGAAATGTGTAAGATCTGACATACCAGATAGCAAGGAAACCCTTGAAAACTATTATGACATGTTGAAATAACTCAAGAGCCAACTTGAAAAGGCTTCCATTGCTCAAATGCGGGTCAATTTAAACTTCAACAAGAATACTCATTGCAGTAAATTGCAATCTATAAGGTATGTTTATATCCATGAATGCAAAATGTTATTGCTTTTAAAAATAGTCACCTTCAGAAGTTGACACAGAGACCAATTTGTTTTCTTGAGAATTTGTAAATCAAATTAAGGAATCAAGCATTTTTCTTGTCTAATAGGAATTGAAACACTGGGTAACCAAACAATAAATTAAGGGAAGAATGTCTTTAATAA